ATCATCAAGATGTACGGATATCTCAATCAATTCACGCCATTTTTTTTTTTTTGTAAAATAATAATAAATTTTGAACACCGATTTCATTGTTTCTTCAAATGTATCTAAATAAGGTGCATTTTTGACTGCCTCAAGCACAGTCAGTTCCAGTCTGTGAGCTATGGAGTGCATTATGACTGTGTGGTATCTGCTCTTTATGGCGTGAAGCCACCCCTGTCATCTATATCATTGCGACAGAAATTCCATCGAAGTTAACACAGACAACTTTCTTTTGTTGTACTTCCAGCTCGATTCATCTATAGCTCTTAAAGCATCAGGCGCACCTGCATTTTCAACAACGCTAAATTTGACCATTTTGGTTGTGGCTGCTCTGAAACTCTGAACAGACATAACACAGACTACTTTCTGCTCAGTAATTCCAGAATCAGTGCTTCCGTCAGCTAAAACCGACACGAACCTGTTCTGTTCAATTAAAACTGTTTTCTCTCGGTGTGCGCAATTGCCCTTATGAAGTCGCAAAAGACACGGTCATTGGTTTACGTCCCTTAAGTTCAACTCCATTTTCTGTCTGTAATTTACGCAAAATAGCTGATTTATTCAAAGACAGTTCTTCCTTAGCTGTAAAATAGAAATGAGAAAAAAGTCGTGTCATAATGTGACATGCTAATTTTAGCGAACATTTTTGCTATTGGCGTCAGCCCTGGATTTACTGTGATGTGCAGAATTGTCACGGGATTTTCATGGAATCTTTATGGAACGTGCTTGTACCCCTGACGAAAGGACTTCCACCGTCTGTGATTTGACTAGGGATACAAGACTTCCCACCCTTATTTCTTGTCTCGATCAGAAACAGTAAAATTGTTTAATTGTTCCAGCTTCTCTGTACCTCAGTGTGAGTTTGATCTGCGCAGTTTGTCATTATACAGAGCTCTTTTGAATTCTACTTGGAAAATCACCTGACTAAGGATAGGTCAAACAGTACAGTGTTCCTACTCTCACTGCTACGTTTTCTTATCCTAACCTATTACTGGGCAGTCGCAGGAATTGAGATTTGAAGACCTGCCCAGCCACGAAAAGAAAACGAAGAAGCAATTTTTTTCTTTTGAGTAGGTTCAAGACAACTTAGTGGTGTTTGTTATTATTATTATTTTAACTAAATAAGTTTGAAAACGCGATGCACTAAACATATCAGATTATTTGGCAAATGGTACAAAGTGCGTTATTGGAATTTAGATTGTTTCAGAGCTGTTACAGTGTCACTATGTATAGAGGAAAAAATGTTCCAGTTATTCATTCTGGAAAGCTTTTTTTTTCTTTTTTTTGACCTGTGCGTCGGATGATCTCGTGGCGTCAGGTGTTGCAGAGCTGAGTGATGTAGAGCAGAGCAGGCAGATGCAGATCGAGTGCGTCCGTTGTCTAAAATGTTTAGAGTAAACGGATTAAAGAATATTAGCTAGCAATTGAGGATCAGGATTTTAATATTTTAACATGGTTGTTAGAGGTGATACGGTTGTGTCTGCCGTGAAGTTATCTGGAGGTTGGTTGTTTGAGTGCTAGAGTTTATTTTCACGGTTGTTTTACTGGAGGTGGAAGGCGGTTCTGTCTCAGGAGCGGGTGATGTGTCGTGGGCTTGAAAAATCTGGTTATGGCGTCGTTGTTTCTTGTGATTAGGCGTCTTCTTGGTATTTCGGTTGTGAAGTGGAAGAACTAGTAAGATAGTGAGTGAGTTAAAAGATTTTATTCTGTAGTTTTAGAATCTGTGACTATTTTGATGAATCGAGTTGGTTGGCCTGCGATTCTTGATTTGATTCTGTGCACTGCGTGCAAGGGGGCTATATTTGATGTCTTCAGGGGATATAGACAGATCGACGTTTCTCAGGAACACAGAAAAACGTTGAGCATTACTTCTAGGCGGTTTACAAACTACTGGTGGGTTTGAAGTCCATGGGGCACATAGATAATATGAGTTTTCAGGGGTGAGGGGTAGAATAAAGATTTCTCCCATTCTTAATAGTTTCGTCGTGGACGGGTCGATAGCGGCGTTGGGTTTGCATTTTCTTAGGAAAATATTTATCCGATTAAGGGAGAAATCGTTCGGGATGCCGTCAATAATGACGTGTGAAACGGTAGGCAAACGTTGAGCGAATTGCTTTCCCGCAGGGAAGTTAGCCACTTGGGTGTGGAGTTCGGCAAAACACGCCTTCGTGGTTCGAAATCTCGTCCCCTCACTCCCTAAAGACTAAATATATATATATATATATATTACTCGTGCTGTGATAGAAGTCGCTTTATTAGACAAATTTTGAAAGAAAAGGTCGACTTCTTCCCTCCTACCAAACAAACGCTCATCAATGCTGATTGGTTAACACAGTTTGATGGTTTGTTGCCGTTGGGGGCAGGGAAACAGCATATGCAAGTTGATGGTGAAAGGTCAGTCCTTGACACCCGTGTACTTTATCTCGGATATCACTCACATACTACAGACGTAAACACAGATCTTTTGGGGTGGCCCGGGGCGTCGGGTTAGCGATTTTGTGAGCTCAGAATCCTACACAAATCAGTTACAATATTTAAATTTTAACAGTAGCTAAATACAGTTACACACGCTCTTAACAGTAAAAACTCTACCAGGATATACATTTAATAATTCTGCTCACAGTAAGTACTTAAAAATAACAAGAACAAACCAATAACATTTTGAACAGTTAACAACAAATTACACCAATTGCAAAGCTGCAGTGTAGAACAAAGTCACGTGGTTTTCTGTGGAGGCGTGGTTATAAATGTACAGTAGTCATGGTGCGCTGCACATTTCGTGCGTTGTTTAGTCTACTTCAAATATGTCAGAAAATAAGGTAAGTCAGTTTTGGTTTGTGAAAAGCATATTGGAGCTTTGTAATGATAAGTGTACTGAGTTTCAAGCCTATGTTGAAATTCTTTCGGTTTACGTATTGAGAATGGCTGTTTTATTTTGATTACAGGATTTTTCTGATCTAAGGAAAACATTTCAACAATAAATTTTACTGGTAAAGCACACTCTGCTGGAATATTTTAGAACAATATGAAATTAACATTTATTTATATTTTAAACTCCCTTATTAATTATTTATGGAATGTTTGTACTTTCTAACGAATAACGAATATTTAACTTACAATTCAATTAGATTCAAAACAAAGCATATTTGTCCGTTTTTGATCAGTAAAAACTTAGAAATAAGTAGGCCTAAATTTTATGTAAAAACTTATGTAAACTGCATTTTTTCATATTCTTAATTTATTCATTTCGAGTTCGAAATCAAAGGCGTGTAAAAATAGTACTTCAGATTGTCTCCCCTTAAATCAATGCTCAAGAAACTTTTCATCGGTTGGTCTGGATGATGACTTAGGGGAGACAAAAACAGGCCGGAAATTGTAGAAAATGTAAAAGGAAGGTGGATATATAGTTGCAATAAAGGTGCAACAACTAAAATCTGAAGTACCGTTGAGTTAGTGTGCTAATAAGTTGTAAACTTGAGAATTACAGTCTGCAGTGACTTTTGTTTACGAGAATCAACGAATCTTTGAAATTGACTTACCACTTTAAAACATTAATTTTAATTAATACGTATGAACCAAATACAACTTGTCTGTTTCATATCCAAATTCCATTCAGCCAATACAGTGTCGAGCTGCTGTAGCTTGGGAAGCTGGGAAACCGCTTTCCATAGAAACCATAGAAGTAGCGCCACCTAAGAGAAGAGAAGTTCGAATAAAGGTGAGATATTTTTGTAAAAAAACATAAAGAACTGTTTGACTGCACTAATTAATTAGAAACTTCATTGATTAGTAGCTTATTGTTATATGAAAAAACGTGTGTTTGTAGTTGCTACAATATCGATACTACTACTCAAAACAAACCATCTTGCATAGATAAGAGATAAAACCTTAAAGTTAAACTTGCGATTAATGATGGTGATATCTAAATTTAGATAGTTTGATTTGTTTGTAGTTGAAGATCTTGTGTTCTGCAGTTAATTCTGGCGGGTAAAAAAAAAAAAATCCCTGATAATTTCGTATAAGAATACCATCAAAATATCTGCAAGCACGACTGATGTGCAAAGCTTTACTTTAGTCTGTCCTAGTAAAATTTGCGAACTATGAAAATTCTAGTCCAAATAAACACAGATCTGTAACATGCGGAATAAAGTTAACTCTCTTTGGGATTCCCTGTGTCAAGACATGTTGGCCAAATTGCACAAGTGTATTGTCAAGTACAAGATTCATGGCCTGCAAGAAGTCATTGGATGTGTAACAGTAGTAACTGTTGCGAGTGATATTGTTACAGAAAGTTCTTTGTTTGGACCTTTACTTGTTGGCAGTAGTAAACCTGTTAATCGCGACATGAAGGTTACTGTTGAGCACGTGGACGGTGGGAGAATAAATAAAGGTGTAGAACTATATTTACATTTACAGAATAAAATGTTACGTAACCCTTCATGGGATATGTTACCTAACACTGTTATGATTAAAGCCAATGGCTTTCTTGCACGAGTAGCTAATAGTTGGGTATTTAATTTTGCAAGTATTAGGTAAATAAATGTTGTCCTCCACAGCTTTTAGTCCTATGTTACGAAAACTGAATAAAGATTAACTTTAAAATTCGATCGTACGCAATAAAAAAAAAAAGACCAACCAGAGCCTGATGGCTAGAGCGGTCTGTGAGTTGCGAACATGCTCATCCTTTCAACCGTGGGAGCGTTATAATATAACGGTCAATCTCACTATTCACTGGTAAAAGAGTAACTCACGAATTGCCAGTGGGTGGTGTTGGCTAGCTGTCTTCCCTCTAACTAGCCCTTTGAATACTATCTACTTACATTGCAAGTAGGTATGCGACTTTCATGAAAGTTATTTATAAAAAATGAAAAGAGTTGATGAAATAGTTATAAATTTGACTTGAAATGTCCTAATATTATGTGCTTTTAGAAAAATAAAATATTTAATTTTTTTTTTTTTTTACTTTTTATAATAAAAACATTCATTATTTAGTGTAGTTATTTGCACCCGGACTCTGAATAGTTCACATGCAATGTGATTTTCATTTTGAGTATAAAAATACTATTTTTTATCTCATTTCATTTGCATCATCTCTAGAATCTCCTAAATGAATATCAAAAGTTTTTAAAAGTAAATGTTTATATTATATTTTGTTTTCCCATTTTCTCTATTATATCATTAACTCCAGATATCATCATCAACGTACAGTGCAATCAAATGTTTAAAATTAAGAAATGGTAGTAAGTACATACCTTTTAAATTTTCTTACAATAGTTTCATATTTCTTTTTGACATATGCATAATTTCACGTCTTTATCTTTTCACTTATAATTTATTTTTAATTTTCCTTTCCAATTCTTTGTCTTTTATTCATTAGCCAAAGACCGACAACATGTCCAGCGCGGTGCTCTGTTGTTATTATAAAGCGAGTCTCTCATGCACAAATTCTAAACACTTCGCACACGCGAATGACGCCATCTTGCTTAGACAGTTTGGTAAGCCAAACTACAACTTAAACGTATTAAAATCATAAACATTTCAAATGTGCATTATAAAACACAAATAATATATAATTAATTAAGATATAAATGTGTAACCTAAATGCAATAAAAAAAAACTAACTGTGACAGTAGTTTAATTTGAAGGAAGAAAAAACAAACTTTATGTTTGTCTGCCCTTCCCAACTGGGGTGCTCAGGAACTTCTGTTCCCCTTCAACTCCGCATGTGAGTTTTTTTATTGTTTCGGTGGATTTAATTTTAAGTTGTGCTTGCATAATAAGCCAGTGAAAAAATAATAATAATAATAGCCACAAAGTCACCAGTAAGCCGTGAAGAAAGTCGGAGGAGGCGGGCGAAGCGTCTTCTTGTCCAGTGGCGATTGAGTGACGTGAGATAGACAGACAGACAGACGAACGAGAAAGGGAGATCCATACATGTGTTCCATATATTACGCTTTATATCGAGTGGTTTTGGATTGGAATATTATCGATATTAAATTTTGATTGTAATTTCGATTTTGTTTTAAATGGTTTCGATTAGTTTCTTATCATCGCAATCTATCCCTCAATATAACAATGGACTAAGGTTATTTTCTATTTCATACAACAGATCCATAGACAGATAGAGGTTTCTTCAGGCTATATCTGAATAGTGCGAAATCTGCTCTTTGTCTGTCTATAATTCATAATGTAAACATGGCTACTGAAAAGCTGTCCGCTTTGTTGACCAACACATAAAAATGTATTCCATATACCCTCCCCTCTTACATAAAGAATAATACTCACTTTCTTAACATCACAGAAGATATCAATACTAACGGACAGTTACCACCCAACAGTCTTCTTTGCACTATGGATGTTTCTGCCCTTTACACCAATATTCCACATGATGCAGGACTACTAACTCTAAAGTCCGCATTAAATCTTTCTAAACAATCAGAATCTCAAACAGTAACTTATCTTGCCAGCTTGGTTTTAACTCTGAACAGCTTCGAATTCATTAACGAGCATCACATTCAGGTTAACGGTACTGCAATGGGTACCAAAATGGCTCCCAAGTATGCCAACATTTTTATGGGTTAAATTGAAAACCAGCTTTTGCAACTAAGCCCTGTAAAACTTCATACATGGAAACGTTACATAGACGACATATTTTTCATTTGGACAGTCGGTCTTAAATCACTTAAAGAATTTATCTCACATGCAAACTCCTTTCACAAAACGATCAAGTTTACCTGTGATAACGCGCCTACCCAGATTAACTTTCTTGACGTCACTGTTTATCTAAAAAACGGAATTTTAGATACTGAGTTGTACAAAAAACCTGCAGACAGACCACAATACCTTCACTATAAAAGCTGTTACCCCTCTCACACTAAACGAAACATTACCTACAGTCAAGCTCTTAGAATAAAGAAAATATGCTCAAATGAAACAGACTACAGAAAACACACGAAGGATCTAAAACAAACCATGTTACAAAGAGGATATAAAGATGCCGAAATCGACAGAGAAATTGAAAAGGCTAACAACACTCAGCGGAAAAACATCCTAAATCAGAGCAATAGTAAACTTTCAAATATAATTCCTCTTATTATTACCTGTGAAACTCAGAAACGTTTCACGAATTCTGAAAAAACATTTTCATCTCCTACAACTGAACGATCGTCTTAAACAGATATTTCCTGAAGTTCCCGTTGTCTCCTTCCGAAAAAGCAGAACTCTAAAAGATATCCTTGTTCACACAAAAGTGAATTACATCCCACCCAAAAATGTTTGTCGTCCATATAATAAAGCCCGTTGTCAAGCCTGCAAGTTCATGAACACCACTGACTCATTTTCTGACAAGCACAATCAAAGAAACTATAAAATATCCAAAGAAATTACTTGAGAAACAAAAAACACCATTTACCTTATACAGTGTAAAAAATGTAATTACCAATATGTAGGACATACACAAAGAACTCTTAGAGAACGTTTCAACAACCATAAATCTTCTATTAACACCGAAAAAGATCTCCCTGTTGCTCAACACTTTAACGAACCCGGTTATTCCATGAACGATGTTATTCTTATCGGCACTGAAAGAGGATTCAAAACTAAAGTAGATAGAGAAATAAAAGAAGCTTACTGTACTGCTAATCTAAACACTGTTCAATTTTTCGGAATTAATCCTGGAATTGGTGATTTCCGATCATTGGTTTCATCTCTGTCATAAAAATAATTTTTATTCTTTGCATACTTTTTCATGTCATGTGAATGCTGAATTTCCTAAAACTTACTATTTATTTAAGATAATTTTCCATACCCTTTTTTATAAATTGATTAGCATAACATATTTTTTCAATCAGTCTCCAGGTGTCACCTTTATTTTACTTAAAAACTAAAGTATAGTCTTAAATATACACATATCTATCAATTTCCAAAGTAAAATATCCCTAAAACCTTTTCACATACACTCTCGCCATCAACTACACTGTACCGGAAATGAGATGCACGTGGGGTGAAGATAAATAGAAGTTTCTGACCGCCCCTGTTATATTTCACTCCTCTTCGGGGAATGAAATATACTTTTAAGCTAAATTTCTACCATGTTAGATTGGGATTACACCACCATTCCTAGTTTGCCCCTGAAGAAGAATGGTCCACCTTTCGGAAGCGACCCACATAGGTTATAGGATTTTTTACTCCTTTCTATCAAAACTTCTTGAATCTCCGTGTTTTTCTAATACTTAAAATATTATAATTTTGTTTCACACTGGGAGAAATTCTTCGTAGTTTCCTCCCAGCTAATGAGAGACAGCTGGAACTATACTTTAACTGTCCATTCAGACAATCTAGTCTATATTAGGAACTCGTGGTTTCTTGTGCAAGAACTGTTAAACTTGATAATTTTAACCACAGTGGATCATGTGACAGCAGAAACTGCAGTTTTAATTGCTGTTTCAGATTTTTCTTTTTAAAATAAAGGAATAAAATATAGATAACATAAAACCTTAAATTGTAACGTACTTGATAATAATAATTACATTAAAGCACGTTTATGGGAAAAATGGTTTAATTCAATTTTGAATTTAACTCAGTAAAATATCATGACATGCGCAGAAAGGGGGTTAAAGAGCTAGCTAGCTAGTCTATCAATTCTAAATTGGGGACCGCTAGCGCAGATAGCCATCTAATACGTTTGCACAGAAATTAAAACCACACACGCACAGAAACTTCTGCTAAACTGAGAACAACAAATGAGGTGTAAATGTTTTTTTTCTTACTTGAGTGGCTGTTCAGAATAATTTTATAAAGAAAAAATATCTTAATTTATACAAAACAATAGAAAATCGATGGGGGATTAAAGTTTTCTAAATTGTTTATCTGTCGTTTGACTTGATTATTTATTGTGAATGCTATTGTCTCATGTACTTCTTTTGTCGCTAGTAGATGATTTAAAAAATAAGTTTTAAGCAAATACCAGGTTGTGCTGTTCAAACTACCATGAAGACATAGGACAAAATGTATACAAAGCTTTCATTTTTTTCGAAATTATTTTGTTACTTGTATTTCTCGTATAATTTGAATTAAGTTTTATGGATAAGTTAAACATATACAGTTTGCAGCATAATGAAAGAATCACGAAGTAAGTTATGCATGTAAAGAAAATCCATAGGCATTTTTTGTTAAAGACTTAGATTTTGTTTTGTACTCACACAGTAGAAGAATATTATACTATTGATGTTTTTCAATCACTAAGCTCATATATAACTTAGATATTTAATACAAGTAATAAAGAAGCTCAGTTCCATTACACAGTTTGTGAATAACTTATTGTTTTAATGATAGTCAAGGTTTTACTTGGCATTCACAATGGATACAAAATAGCAGATGTGTTAGCTGATGCAATATCTTGTACGTCCGAATGAAATAAATTGTTTTATAAATAGATAAATATATTTATATATGTATACATCTTTTACGATCAGATTATTCAAAAATAATAAGGTTCAGTGTTGTAGCAATCAAACTGTAACCAAAAGTATTCACACTCATTTAATGTATATTTGTAAATATGTGTAGATTATATTTATGAAGTTTTTCTTCTTCATAAACGAATTTCTATTTTAGTTGGTGGCTACAGGAGTTTGTCATAGTGACCTCCACATGAAAAATGGCATTAAATCAGGTATTACTTGTGCCGATGCTAATTTTCCCTGTATTCTTGGTCACGAGGGTGCTGGAGTAGTGGAGAGTGTTGGAGAGGAAGTGACTAATGTGAAGCCTGGTGAGTGTCAAAATGGAAAAAATATACTTCCGGATTAAACCCACTTTTGTAAAAATAATTCAGTGACATGGCGTTAACCAGTGACATTTAAAAGAACACAAAAAACTTGTTAGGAAACACAGTTGCAACAAGGTACCTGAAGGAAATAACTAAATATAATTCACTTGTCAAAAAGAAATAATTGCAATTCAAAGTAATAATCAAACTCAGCAATAAAACGAATAACTTTCTACAGAAAAGTTATAAAAAAGGTATTGGACTGTCAGATATTAGAAAATAATATTATATATGTATATGGATTCCGTTTTTTTTGTTGTTGTTTTTGCCAGTGGTCAAAATAAATAGCTTTTACTTATATTTCTTAATAGTAAAAATAGTAGTTGTTGGACTTAGAATTCTTCTACAGTAGGTGTCCGTGACTTGTTAGCGATAAATTCAACTATGAATAAAACAGCATACACTTTACTTGTTTTCAAATAATATATATATTCGGAACAAGTTAAACGTATGTACAATAAAGTATTCACAATATAGAGAATATAAGCATATCGTAAACTTTATATCAGTACATGTATAGTTCTCCTCTTGTCAAAAGTCCACTTAGGCCTTTAGAATCTCAGTTGACAAGCCGAACTATTTTCTCTAATACTATCGCAATATTAGTCTGGTGTGATTCACTTACGATTGTGGTCTTCTTTCTTCTGAAGATCCTATGTTCCTTTTATCAAAGTGCACTCAAGCTGATTCAATTACCTTAATATTTCGCTTTGACAGAATAAACTGATTTTTCTTATGTACAATATATATATATATCGTCTTCTTTTAACTCTTATTATAATAAAACTTATAAATATAAATTAATTACTAATATTTAAACCAAACAGTCTTTTATATCATGACATGCACTTAAAATAAATGTGTTATTAAAGAAAGTGACACAATGAATAACTTGTCAAAAGAAATAGTTACAATGAATAACTTGTCAAAAGAAATAGTTACAATGAATAACTTGTCAAAAGAAATAGTTACAATGAATAACTTGTCAAAAGAAATAGTTACAATAACAGACATTTTAGAAAACGGTACAATATATAAAATGATAACAACAACGTTTTTCTAATAAAAACGATATTCCTTTAATGTTAAATATTTACATTTGATTTTCCAATATGTTATTCTAATATTAAAAGCATTTTAATATGTAAAAAAAAGTCGTTCAAGCTTTCAAATAAATTATGTAAACGTTCTCTTTCAAAGCGTTTATACATTAGAAAGTTTAATGACTTAATGCTTATATCTCTCAGGTGACCATGTTTTTCCCTTGTTCTTGCCGACATGTGGAGAGTGTACGACGTGTTTACGTCATGACAACAACATTTGTACTGGGATCGAGTAAGAAAACTTTCACTTTCATAACGGGCTCCGTCCCTCGTAACCATTTTGTGCTTGTTATAGTTTTCATGCTATAGCCTTTAAATTAGTAAGCGAATGTTAACGAAATTTGACAGATTATCAGTTAACAGCACAATGCTTTCATACACAAATATTAATTCTTAAGGCTATCCAACATGCAAAGTAATTTTTATTTTAAGATTAAAAATGTTTTTATGCATCAGAATATTTTCAAATTTCACATGCGAAATCTTTATAATGTCTAGATAGTTATCAAACGTTTCATAAAGAAAAATTTATATCTGTTATTTTTACTAACGGATCTCCACGGGTTTGATAGATTTGACTGATCTCGTAACCAACATAATATAACGGTATCCAATAATATATAGTTAACCTTTAGTCTTTACAAAGTGACTCTGTCTTGGCTGTGTTTTAGTAGACTAGTATTTAGTAAAATACAGTAACATTTTATTATTATACATTATATATTTATATAGATTATTAATATTCAAAAATAAGTTATTAAACTTAATTTTCTTAAAACATAGAAGCAAACAATTATCTCTTCTAGTTTCGACCTTTGTACTCAGTTG